GCTACTGTTCGAGACCTGTTGAATATGATTGGAGAAGATTTGAATATATAAAGTTAATATAAATTATTATTATTCTATGAAAATCATTTTTTCGATTTGTAAAAAGATACTATGTCGATTTAGTTTAACTTTTGCACGTCTTCATGTAAAGAAAAAACTTTTTACGAATGTCAGATGTTAAATAAAGCGATTATTTGATAATCAATTGATTTATGTGATAAAATATAAAATCAATATTTAGAAATTTTTTTCAAGATCATTGATAGATTTTAGTCTTAGTTTGCATTAGTTAATGTTAAATATTGATTAGAAAATTGTAAAATATGTGCCAAATATAAATAATTCGCCTAAATTCTAGAGTATTCGTCGGATATGTTCCTTTTCGTCGAAAAGTCAAAAATAAGTATTTGATAAGGTACAATTTTCGAATCTTTGATATCGGATAGCTGTCGAATACTTCATAACTGAAACGAAATGAACAAAAAAAATACATTTCACATCTGTGATTGTTCGTCGCATGTATTTCAAAATCTGCTCATGTACTGTTCTATATACATATTCGATTAGAATGGATATATATATTAACACAATGATAACTAGTATTATGTATTTTTCATGCTGGTTTATATAATAATGATGTACTTCCGTGATGCCATAGGACAAATTTAAAAGAAGCTGAAAAACATTGAAATCAATCGTTGGAAGAAAATAATGTTTTATTCTTCAACGAGAAATAATTATACCGAATGAAATTATCAAATAAGTTCTTCATATTAATACATACATGTGTCCTTTATATGTTCATATAATCTAGCTACAAAATAACAATGCTTCTGATTTCCTACTCTGAGGATATGAAAAAAAAAATTCTCTAGAACTTATCTATTTCAAGTTTACTATCAAGAAGTGTTGATACTGAAAGCTTGAAGTACGATCAAGTATTTGGGTTTTCTTACCAAACATACTTATATGAAGTTAACTCAAACTAAATATGCTTGTCACACGTGTTAATAGTACCTTTGAAATAGCAAAAAAAAGAAACTCTAGACGATAGAGCTTTGACATATCCTTTGAGTACGGAGTTTCCACTTTTTTCCTTGGATACACCTCATAGTACCTTTTATTCAATATATTCCATAAAGATGTCAATTATATTATTACTGTTCTTTTAACCAAATCATACTGGAACTTTTTAATTATTGGTATAACCAAGGGTATAACAAAATATCAATATCTTTCTATTTTTAAAATGTATAAATTTTTTACAAAGCGACTCTTATCAGAGATCTCTACTATAGTTGATTATAAGTTTAAAAGAATATAAAAAAATAAATCGACAGAAATCAAATCGCTTTTGTTTTCTAGTATAACAATTTTCCATCGAATTCTTTGATGTAATATAAAAACTTTTATATAAAAAAAAAAGTCATTTATGTCAGCTTTTGCAAAGTAGATTTAAAAAATACTCTTTCTCCTATAGGCATCTTTATATAGGTTAGCAGCTATCTACTCTTTCGAAATTTCAATAAAGAATACTATTCGACAAGTGTTAATCATGTTTTAGCATATATATTTATATATTCAATTCGGTACATTTAACTTGAATAAAAGCATATGTGAAATTACATAAATAAAAAAACAAAGTTGATTTTTGTAATGAAGTAATAAATTTTTGATTAGCTCTTTATCGAACATATGTCGTATGCAAAGTTGCTTTTTCTCAATACAAGTCATCAAGAAAATAGAGCTTCGGAGTTGTGTTTTTGATAAAAAAAGAAAAAAGAAAAAGAATCTAAATAAACTATGATGATTTTCATGTTTTTGTCTGACAAGAAGTTTTTTTATTTTCTCCTATTACTTATAATGTAGCTGGTACGAAGAGAAAAATCGTCTTACATTTTATAGATTAATTAATAATTTAACTCTTTAATAAAGTTTCTGAACGAACTACTTCTGTTCTATAAAAACTCTATAATCAAGTGATGCATATTCATATGAACTGCTGACACTATAATGATTATCGTGTAACTAGAAAAAAATAGATAAACTTATACTTTATCAATTTACTATTTAAAAAGAAAAACTAATTGCATCCCAAAGTTTCATCGTCTTTTTTTCTTTGAAAAATATTGTCTCTTTTGCTTAGAAGAACCAAAATATTAGAAGCTCTATCAAAAAACATGATTTAAAGCAAATGTTATGAGATTTGCCAAAGATCATAAGAACATTTCTTAAAGAATAAAATACATGTTGATCTTGATTTAGTCCTAGTTGTCACACAAAAATGTTAGTTCAATTGGTTGAAGCATCTGAGTGAAAACTGAAAATTTTCTGTTTAAATAATTGCTTTTGACAAAAATTTGAAACAAGATACAGTTTTCAATACTTCGGTTACGTAAATTTGAGTTTTTAACGTTTGAAGGCAATTTCTCAATCATGAACTATATTCACTATATAGATATTACATCAGGTTATACAATCGTCACGAAACAAGGATGGGAGTACCCTTAATTTATCATGTTTTTGTCTTGAGTCTCTCTCCCTCTCGTCTGTTCTCATTTCTAAAAAACAATGAAATGAAAAAGTATGGGTTAATATTTCGAATAAGAATAAGTTCGTTGCAACCATATCTCGATCAGTTCGATCGTTAAGCAGCAATTGGTAGATCCAACGATAGTTTTATTTAACTCGCTTTCTATCATACGAAACACATATCAACTCGGTCACGAAAGAAGAAAAAAAAAGAGAAGATATCGGTCAAAAGGCCACACAGTATTTAAAATGTAGACATTTATAAAGAAATAAAAATCATACAATAGATTTCATTAAAGTCGATTTTTCAAAACTACAATACATTTATTTTAAGAGAATATATTGAAAAGAAAACTCACCTTTTCTGAAATAGATATCAAAGTTTCCTTTAAAAAATCAGATGATATATCTATTAGAGGGATTAAAATATTGATTATTTGAGATGTAATATTTGTTAGTCAGTATATTCATACCTATTGACTCTTCATCGTTCTCTTTTTTTTTTCATTTTCTACCCTGTAATTCACATTCATTCAACTATGCTCTGAATATAAAACGTCATTCTTATTGTTTGATCTATCGATTATCAATGGCTACGCCCATTTTTATTCCCTTATACTTATGAAATACAACGTCACAGATTTCTGTCTCTGACTATTCATATCGATATTATAGATTTACCATCACAATATGCATCTGGGCGGATGCTTTGCTAAAAATAAGACTCGCACTTTTTCTAGATTTAAATATAGCGAAATTTCTTTTGAAATATGCTCTGCTTAATGATATAAATAACTTTGTTACAACTTTTGAAAAAAAATTGAAAAATCAGTCGACTAACATTTAGTCTGAAAATTGATATCTAATAAAATTTATCTGTTCGCCAGACAAATCGAGTACATTTTCTAATTGTGAAATTCAAGCTCTATATAGTAGTAAACAATATTTTCTTCTTTGCACTTTTCACTTCTGGGAAAAAGAAAATCATTTTTTTTTCTGCAATATCGTTCGAACGGCTAGTCCTGTGAAATGAGCAATCCAATTATCAAACTTTTTCAAACTTTATCAGCATGTTCTTCTATCTGCTTTTTCTAATCTCTGCTAGCACAAAGATTCCTGAACTGCCCAATACGTTCCCAAAAACCTATGTTTTTTTAGGTCTTTTTTTTTTGAGTTTTTCTGGCTTCAAAAAAATATTTAACCCACAAAAATAGTATACTTGGAATCGGTACATTAAATTGCGTCGAATAATATACAACACAAAAGATTTTTGACGAAAAAAGCTTTCTGGAAATAATACAGGCAAGAATCCTTCTCATGGTTTTTCTTTAAAATGCTTTTATGAGTCGTATTCGATAATTTCTGATGAAAGATTGTCGTTTCCAACCAAGAAAGTCACATGTACACCTGCCATGCAAAACATACACGCTCTGACCATTGTGTTCATTTTGTTATCATCTTAAGGATAATTTCTTCTTTTGAATCACTTCTAGTTCTTCGGGAGAATACTACCTGTGAGGCTCGTTCTTGAAGAAAGATTTCGGTCTTACTCTGTCAGATCAAGTTATAATGACGAGGTTGTTGTGAAATCTTCAGTTCCGTATTATGAAATTTCTGCGAGATATTCAACAAAAAAAAGTTAAAAATTGCTCATTTGGCAAGCCAAAATTCTCTATGAGCCTTTATTCCATATTTTTAATTTTCTTTTTTGTTTGAAAGACGATATTACTGGATCTTGACATAGTCTTTCAAAAACGATGCTATTGACTACAATGAAACTCCTTTGAGAATTTCTGAAATGCGTGATCAAAACAATATAAACAAAAAATAAGCGAAAAAGTTTTCACTTTGAAAGAAATTTTTAGATGAAACGATGTGCTGAATAGAAAATCGTATGATCTATGACAGATCAGGCATCAAACTATCTTCTCATGCATTTATTTTAGTTTTCATATTTTTGACGAAAATTGACTTTTTTTTATGAGATCACATTCGGAAGTAGGCTTAATGGTGTTTGAAGATTTCTCCAAAAATCCCTTAAGATCTGCCTTCAAGATTTTCTTCTAGAACATGTACTCCATCATTTTCAATAATTTAACTATGATAAAAATGTGAGCTTGAGCGATTATACTCTCGCAGAGAATCAGAAGTGGTTTAAAAAAGGTGGATACTCGTAAAACAACCTATTTCGAATTGTAACACAAATACTCAGCATGATGACTTTCTTGAAGTTAAAATCTTTGAAATATTTCTTTCAATGAATTCCGTTCATATAATCCTAAAACCCTATTCTATCCATTAAAAAAAAAGTACAATTCAAATCTAGTATAATTGTCACCAATTATTTTGTTACAAAAATTTTAAGAAAACCAAAGAACTACGTTCAGATATTCTTTATATAAAAAAATCAAACATATAACACTACAATTAGTTTAATAAACTGCAAAAAGAAACTAAATAAACCAATATCAAGAAATATGAAGCAATGATTTCAGCAATGGTAACAGTTCATTCTCATCTGTTTTTGATAAGTTTTGTTCTATATTATGTCGTAATTTGTTTTCAAGTTTTTGCCATGTTAAAAATCGTGTAACAATTTTATTATATATACGAAACGTTTGTTCAAAGCCATATATTGTTTCCATATATTTCCATAATAATTCTATATAATAATTGTGTGCCCTATAAACCGCCGTACCATCATTAAGAATAGGTTCTGAAACAGCATCACCTGTTGAAAGACCTTTTGTTAGAAAAAGTACAACAAGTGATAATTGTATTATTTTATAATCATATAATCTAATATGTAGAAATGATTGAAAGATTTTTTTAACTTTTAAACAAAGTTCATTTCCATGAATTGTTCGTAATATCGATAAAGTCCATGGTACATCAGTATCAGTTTCTTGAATTTGTTTCGTATCCATTTTATATAAAAGTGTACTATTAAGAATAAAAACTGGCAAAAGATTATATTTAGTTAAAATAAGTTTATCGTTAACATTTAATTGCTTGAATTCAGGTATTTGTTTGAAAAATGTTAAAAGACGTATTGCTGGTACTGAATGAAAATTTAAGTACTGTAAAAATGTTGTTGCACATACCGATGGATCCCATGGAAGACCATCACGAGCAGCTAAAGCAAAGATAAAAAAAATAATTGACTGACAACTGTTCTCAAGAATATATTATTAGCGAACATTCAGAGAATATATTGACAAATTCTGGAACTAATCAAAAAGTAAATGATCGTTTTTACGATTGAGTGCAAAATTCTTTTCTCTAATGGACACTTACAATTTATTAAAACCAGATTTTTATTTTTGTCATTATAACGGTGCTTCGGAATTTCACTAGTAGAACTTTTGCCATTAGCGAAAGTTTACTGTACCTCCGCCAACACATCCCCTTGACTTTTGTCATGGGCGAGTGTCTATTGGCCACAATCTTATCGGTGAGATTTCTGGCACCTGTTATTATGAGAAAAATTACGTTTCAACCAACGAATAGATTGTATTCAGAAGAAAATAAAAAATTAAGTATTGCTAGATTTATTATCAAGATAATTCTATTATACGTATAAATATTATTCTAATGAATAATTTCGATTAATTACTCCATTCTCTCTTTGATTCATTATCTATCAGACGAATATCTTTCTTAGTTCAGTTCAACTAAGAAAATGTAATTAATTGATAATAATGAGAATCAATTTAAAAAGAGCTTTATATTTTATTGCTTTTGATCTTCAAATATTGTTCCGTCAACGAAAAACCAAGCATCATAAGATTTTAGTTTGACTATAAGTAATTTAGTCATTAACATGGATTCTATTAAATAAATTTGCGATTCGGTTATATGCTACTCGACTTGTTACAATATCCATCACACGTGTATGTAAAAAAATTTAGAAAGATTTGTTTGTAAACATTCTATGGGTCTTGGGATTTATTATGATGATTAAGCTATGTCTGATCCCATGAAATTTCACTATTTAAAACAAACAATCTAGACGACTGGAAAAAGAGAGAAGTTTGACCTCAATTCTTTTATATAAACTTATCTCGATCCTTGAATCAATTATTCTTTCTTTTTACATTCTAAATTACCCTAGATATAATATGTTTTATTACTTTTTCTTAGTTGAATGAAGTTCGAAACATAATATTCTCTGTTCTCGTTTCTATAATCAGCTGTATTCATAGCTATTAAATGTGAAATTTAATGTTCAATGAGAATGGAAGCTCACTTTTGTTGCTGTCATTGTTTTAATTATCTCTAGTATTGAAAAAACAAAATCCTCAAAGATTTGTTTACTTGTTGGACTCTCTATAAATAAACGGAACCTTTTAATGAAGAGTGGAAAAACATGTAGTGAGGCTTCAATCTCGATGTATTAATCTCAAGTTTCAGCTAATATTATCAGCTATTCCAACATGGAGATCAGCATGACACAAAACGCCAACTTTTAGTGCGTGTATTTGAAAAAAGGAAAAAAAGCAACTTATAATGAATCCCTATCTAGATGTTTTACATCTTAAAGAACTCGCAAATCTGGATGAATTATTTAACAGGCTAGATACGCTAATTCCTAGATATGTGATGAATTTTTCTAGATTTTAAGAAAGTACTAACCGAGTTCGATACGTTTTTCAAACGCAGTTTGAACAACTTCTATACGTTGTATATCGTGAGAACTTATCATTGCTTGATTTGATTCGAATGATGATTGTGGTAAAAACTTAGTGAAATCTGTAGAAACCATATTTGTATTGTTGATTGTTAATAACTGAAAAAAGAAATATCAAATCGATATGAAACAATATCTAATTTACATGATTTGGAAATGTTGATGATCGTAATTCGGATCTTTGTTCATGTATTTCATTATTTGTTTGTAATATAAAATTTTGATTTTCTTTTGTTTTATAGAGTTTTTTTGCTTTTTCTTCAGCCTAAAAAGTTTGAAAATGATTTTTTTTTGGACATTTTAATGTTTAAATTGGTACTTTCAGCAGACGATCACGTTTCATTCCATTCATAAGACATTTGGCCAGACGACATGCTGAACAATGTCGTCGTGTTTTGAATGTTATTTCACAAGCATTATTACGACGACAATGAAATGTTTCCTATATATAGACATAAAACAAAAAGTAGGTCGAATGAAAGCGTGACATCATCCTATATAAGCAAAGAACTATTTCTTACGCACCGGGTCTTTTAGTGCATTACGACGAAAGAAGATTTTGCAACTTTCACATGTGATGACACCGAAATTGCGTCCTAGAGCTAATGATCCGCAAATAGCACAAATGTATGAAGTACTTTTTGTCTTTTTACGATTTGTTGATTGATTATACTCTGATGGCTGCAAATATAATAGATGATTTGTCTTCTACATTAGGAGAAAGATTTTAATTGTTACCATTCGATTTTTGTTTCCTTCACATTCGAAAAAAAATGTTTCGAATGATGACGGATTATTATTAGTTCGAATTTGGACAATAAATCTTTCATCGCTAGTCCGGACCGTTATTTGACGTTGGTTGAAATTCATTGCAGTTGCCATTTATTGAAAAAAAAACGTTTTTTTCTAAAAAAAATAAACTTTGATTAAATAAGATATTGTTTCTTTACCATGAATCAATAACTTAGATAATCATATTCACTCACATTTCAAATTTGTTATTAAACTTAATGTAGATCAACGGTTTATTGAGATAATTTCACAATCGACGTCAATTTTTATCTTCTGAAACTAGAAAAAAATAAAGATTTAAACAGATAAACTAGATGATTCCACATATTTTCTTTTAAATGAATGTTATCGTATTTTGACATTCATTGCATTAATAAAAATTACTAGCAGTTTATATCTGTTGTATGATTAATTAAACTTTCGTTTGAAGAAAACGATCACAACAATCATGAAAAGAAGTTTACATTGTAATATAGCCATTTACCCGAAGATGAAGAAGAAAAATCGGAATATTTTTGTACTTAATGATTAACAGTGAACCTCTGCGAAAACCTACATGTGTGTCATTTCTATCAAAATAGTCTCAGCTTGTGAATATATCATGAACTGAATTCAATCAATTTGTATTGTGAATTTGTAATATAAGAAGTAATAGATACTGTTCGTACTGTGATACTGATTCTATTGTCAAGCATTATCCTAACAGTAGGAAGCAATAAAAACGAGTGAAAAAAGAAGTAAGACAAAAAAAGAGAAAGAATAATATTTTTCATAATCAACAGAGAATAGGTATTGTCTTCATAAGAAGAATAAGGACAAAAATAAAACATCAACAAGTATGAATGGCAACTTTCATTAACATTTCTCAAGCTATTATATAGCAGAATTTTACTATTAGTAATAAAATATGAAAAACAAACAAACAAATTCTTCTGCTAAAATCGAAAGAAATAATCATAGTAAAAACTTCACAGATGACTATCTTTGCAATAAGTTATTTTGAAAATCATGCAAAAACAAGGTATTAGTACATTGAGCGCGACTTGATTTCTAGATATCATTTTATCTTCTAGCTGTTTTTTTTTGATACTGCATAAAACCTAGAACACCTGCGGAACTTTTTTTTTAGTTCTGTGAGGACGAAACTGCAAAGAAAAACAATTACTCTCATTTGCCGTCCTTCTCATAGTAATAATACGACGCAAAGTATTGCATTTCTTTTGTCATTTACGGGTCTCTTTTTAATACGTCGCGAAGCACAGTTATATTCATGTTTTTCTTCCGATTTCGTCGATGTACCCACGAAAAGTTCATATTTCACGACGCGATGCTCAGAGATGAAAAAGAGAAAAAAAAATATTCGTTTCAACACAAGAGGAATATATCGAAATCGAGTAAAAATCATTCATTTTCTGAACTGACGTATGAAGCTGCATTTAGTAAAAACAAGAGCGATAAAAAGATAAATTTTCGTGGCGTGATGAAAATACTGAGATTGAATCAACAATATACTTGTTTTGATCTTTACTAGTAGCTTCAATTTATTTATAGGGAGTCTGATAAAATCGTTTTTTTTGCAACATTTAAAATAAACAAAGTGAAGATTGGAATAGAACTTTCTTGATAATGATCTTTGCAATGCTTGCTTTCAGTTTCCTTCTGACTGCAAGCAGCTAATTGCTCGAAACGTAAATTTTTGGATGATAACGACGAAAAAAAAAACTTGATTCCAATACACTATTTATATATCTTGTTCAGAGAAAAGCATTTTTTACTTAATCATTAAAACAGTTATTCTTTTTTATACGACATAAGGTCATCCAAACTTTTGCAGTTGCATATAATTGAAATGCTATCTAATTTTATACATTGATAACAGCAATACTTCAACTATTAATGAATGGAAACCATTCTTAAAAACATATGTATGTCAAACTAAGACTGTTAAAATCCTTTTCAGAATGTGTAACAAAAAAAGAAAATTGGCTTTATTTTTTCCTATATGAACAAGGCGAATAAAAAGAACGAACGTGTCTAATTACAAAAGATTCAAGTGCATGTGAGAATGCAATTATTGTGACTATTATTACTACCTATTATGTGTTTTATTTGTTTTTATTCCAATGCTCTTCTATTGGTAATTAATAATTTCGTCTTATACGAATATGAAGCACAATTGTAAAGAGTTACATGAAAAAATATTCTGTTTTATTCCTAAAAAGGTTTACAGTTCATTTTTTAATTCTTACTTTCACATTTGGATGCAAAAAACACACTTTAAATACGATCTATTTTCGATCTGGTTTATAAAAGAAAGTAGAACACGTATTTTTGAAATATCAATGAGAAAAAGTAAGGCGCGAACTTTATTAAAAAAACATTTTATTGCAAATTTTTACTTCGTCTTAAAATAGAAGATAATGATGTGAAGGAAACGTTAGTTATTGAATATTTTCTACAATTTAATATAGTACAACTTGCTCTATTTATTATTTTTGTCAATATAATTGAAAAAAAAAGTATTAAATTCTATATGAAAAAATCTATACAAATTAAAAGCATTACAACTTACATATATTTCAGTAGTTATTTTAAATTAGTCTGCACCAGCGAATATCATTGGTTACCATTCCTGATAGGTTTTATTGCATTGATCGACATTTATTATATGTTGCCTTTATGTGAGAGACAAAAGAAAAGAAAAGAAAAAAAAACAGGTTTTCAGAGTGTATTATTTAGGTAGACGACGACGAAAAAGTACAAATAAGGCATGCATACGCAGACTGAAAATGCTTGAAGAAGGACAGCGCACAATACAAAAGTGTGTAATATAAAATGAAATAATAGCTATTCAATGATATCTTTCTTTTGGTCTTCTATGTCATATATGTATATCCTTTGTTTTTATCTTGTACCGATTTATAAATGTCCTTCAAGAGGAACATTACAAAAAAGAGTAATAATCGAAAGTTGTTTTTATGCAAAAACAGTTTGATTTCGATGAAGATTAATGGTATACAGAACAATTTTTATTTTTGTTATAAAAAGAGGAGAATTATCAAGAAAAGATTTATTTTTGAAAAATAAATTATAGTTTCATGTAGAAAGAATATTCACGTATAAAATAGTTATTTGCCGTTTTTTAGAATTCATTTTCTTAATTGATTTTCCAGTTGTGATGATTGAAAGTTTATTCAACTAATTATGTAATTGTTTTTTGAAATAGTATTGTTATTATGATGATTAATGATGTCATATACGTTTAATAAAAATTATTTGGTGTAATAGGTGAGTTAGCGATTGAAAATTTAGGAAGATGCATCTGTATGATTTTTAACTAATCCGAACTTCTTCTGATAAGGTCATTACTATAGTTATATATTTTGTTGAAATCTTTTTTTACTTTTGTTTCGATACTCTTGAATGATATTTAATTGTTGAGACTGGGTTTTGGTAGTCACGAAGAATATCAAGCAGTTTTAGATGGAGAATCTGTTTCAAAGGGACTGTAACTTACAGACGAAAATATTCTTTATTATCAATAAGTAGTTTCAGTTTTAAAGCACAATGATGTAGAACAGTCTTAATATTGATTCATACGATATAAATATATTTATCGTTAATTATTTTATTACAATAATATAGCAGAACAAAAAATAATAATAATAATATTTACATGCAAAAAATAAAGACTCAAAAAATAAAACTCTCGTTGCCATTGTTACATTGATAAAATTGTTTAGAGAGAAAAAAGAAAGTGAATAAACTTCTGAAATCAATATTATGATATATGAAATAATGATTTCATCAATGGTAATAATTCGTTCTTATCACTTGATAATAAATTTCGCTCAACATTATCTCGAAGTTTTTTATGAAGTGTTTGCCATGTTATAAAATGTGTTATAACTTTTCTCCATACATGAATAGTTTTTTCAGATCCATGTACTGTTTCCAAATATTTCCATAATAATTCTGTATAATAATTTTGTGCACGATATACAGCCATACCATCATTAAGTATAGGTTCAAGTTCACCATCACCTGTTGAAAAACCTTTTGTTAATATAAGTGTTATAAGTGCTAATTGAATTATTCGTTCATCATATTGTGCAATATGTACAAATGATTCAAAGATTTTTCTCATTTGTAAATAACCATCATAACCATAAACTTCTTGTATAACAGATGAATCCCATGGTACATCAGAATCAGTTTCAACAATTTGATCTGTTTCACTTTTATATGAAAGTGTACAATTAATACATAAAAGTGGTAAAAGATTAAATTTAATTAGTGTAACTTTATCATCAACATCTAATTGATTAAATTCTGGTATTTGTTTAAAAAATGTTAATAATCTTATCAATGGTACTGAATGACTATTAAGTTTTTGTAAAAATGTCATTGCATGCATTGATGGATTCCATGGAAGACCATCACGAGCTAGATTTAAATTGTAAGAAAAAAAAAGATGAAATCTAAAAAAAATATTTTACCTAGTTCAATACGTTTTTGATATAAAAATTGTATATATTCAATACGTTGTAAATCTTCTGGACTAAGTAATCCTCGATTTGCTTCTGATGAAGTTTGTTGAAGACAATTTGGTAAAATGAAAAAATTAGATTTTGATGATGAAACTAACTGAATAGATGCACAAAAAAAAAGAAACAAAAATAATGAAATAACCAAAAAAAAATATTCATGATCATACTTCATTATGAACAATAAAATTTTTTTGAAGATTTATATCGAGATTTTCTTCCTTCGTAAGAAATTTGTTTGTTTTTTGTTCAGCCTAAAGTTCTTTTTTTATATTGTAAAATTCATATGAATATTATTTTATTAAATACCATTATAAGTCGATCACGTCGCATTCCATTTTTAAAACATTTCGCTAAACGACATGCAGAACATCGACGACGAGAATCAAATGTTATTTCACATAAGCCTTGTCGAAGACATTCAAGTGGCTGTAAAAGAAATTCATATAAGAGAATTAACTTGTTATCAAAACTTACTGGATCTTTTAAAGCATTACGACGAAAAAAAGATTTGCAACTTTCACATGATATTGCATCAAAATT